CTTAAAGTCAGGTATGGATATAGATCCCTTATATTTCTTGCACCGATTTTATGTGTAGCCTAACTACACGTTTGTCAAATTTGGCGTTTCGATTTAGAAAATCTCTATTATAGATTTCACTCTAGTTTCATATAAATGATTTTAAATTAGATTGAATTTCGAATCATAATGCCAAGTTCCAAGTTAAATATAATCCAGGTTTACAGTTTTTTTCATTGTTTTATATTTTATTTTATTTAAATAGACCAAATCCCCCAAAGGAGTCACCAAAAAAATTACGAAATGTTGGAAAAATGCAAAAAAAAATAATTTACTTTAAATAAATACTAGAGGGCAATAAGTTGAAAACACCAAATAATAATTACCTATGTTGAACCAAATCGATTAAATTTAACTATAGCTCCCATATACATATTTCACCAGATTTTATATTTTAACCTTCTCAAAATCATATAATGGTCTCTCTATTGCAATTAAATTTGGTAGGAGAGCTCATAATCAATATAAAACTACCTCCGTCAAATTTAGTGGACATCAATTTTAATTTAGACATAGCTCCCACATATTAGTCCAATACCAACTTATTAACCACCCCCAAAATCACAATATAAATTTTGTATAGATAAACTTAAGAAACAAATATTAAATTTTTACTGATTCCATCGCCAATACTTTGCCACTTAAAATGCCTTATTGTATTGAATTTAATATTGATTTGAAACTGCCAGTTACGGCTGGCTGACTTCTTCCTGCAATATCATTAATATTCAATCGGTTCATTGTGTCATAACGATTATTAATTCACATTTCGCACAATGCGATCTTCTGCTGATGCAGTGAGCAAGTTTTTTTTCGCCTTCTGCCAAACGGAAATGAAAAGTTTATGCAGTTCATAAAATGCTTGGAATTTTCGAACACTCATTTTCCTGGAATGCCGGAATAAGACTCACAGCAGGAAAATACACTTCAGTGAAATATCCTTGGATATGATGTTGATGATGCGCATTTTAGATAATAAAATATTAACAAAAGTATTTTTGTATTTAAAAAATGCTAAATATTTAATGAAGTTTATTTTTTATTTTCAGAAAAAAAAAAAAGAAATGCTGACTAAAGCCAATGCCAATAACGTCGTTGTCGTTGTCGTCGATATCTCTTGGCCATATTGAAAACTATAAATTTAATACTTCAAAAATTAAATTAAACGTAAACCAGCGAATTGAATTGGACGTAATGGCCAACCACAAACTTCATTATTTACAATACAAAAGTATAGATTATGAATTATGGGAAATTGTGAAATGGATTTTAGTAACTTTATTATGGCAGCCGCATAAAATATAAATTTTATTCAATTTTTAATGCATTCATGACGTGCTTGTATTCCGCTGCATTTGGTCGATAATAGAATGGGTAAGTTGTTATTGTATGAAATAGAACAAAATATTAAATATTGATAGTCTTACAAAAGAATGAAGCTAGAAATAAAGTATTCAAATCTTATATTAAAAGAGGGATAAGCTACCCTTTAGGGCATGTTAGACTAGGAATATTTAACTTATTTTTAGCAATTTGTTTTCAAATCCCAATTATTGAAAAATTAAGAGGGTTTTCTATCTTAAGAATACCTCTAAACACATTTACAGGGTGAAATGAAACAACTGCAAGCAACTTCAGACTCTCATTTCTAAGCCACTAGTCCGACAGCTGTTAAAATTATTCCAGTGACAGCTCAACAAGCATACAAAAGCATTTTGGTAAGAGTTTTCCAGACAAAAAATTATTTGTGATGGAATTGGCTGGAAAACCACAAGTGGCTACCATTAGATCACTCCAGCAATTTATTGTGAATTAATCTCTTGTGTCTCGTACCATCGCACATTACTGTGATACTAGTAGCCTAGCCTGACGTCAAGGAAGTGCACGGAAGAAAACAGCAACATCAGCAGAAATGGTTCGAAATTTAAAGAAGCGACTTAATCGATACCCGTGTCACAGTGGCCTAAAAATGGCTCGTGAGCTAAACATATCTCAATATTCCATTCGGCAAATATTGAAAAACAAGCACGGGGTAAAGCCATTGAAATTCCAAAAAGTGCAGAAAGAAACTAGACTCAATAGACCTAAAGAGTTGCTTCTATTGGCCGAATGTGGTGAACTGCCGAATTTGGTTTTCTCCGATAAGAAAACATTCGTTGTCCAGCAGTTTGTAAACAATCAAAATGATCGTGTTTACTTGCCAAAGAGGTCAGCTGAAAATAAGCACCTTGGGTTGGCCACCAGAACTCAACTGCTGGCCATGGTGTGGGCCGCCATAATAGCCGATGGTCGCTCTCCGCTAGTATTAATCGACCGTGGCATCAGAATAAATGCCGAATGTTATCGCGAAAATATTCTGGAGGGTGTATTAAAGCCTTGGGCACGCAAACATTTTGGTCGGAGACCTTGGACATTCCAATAGGACTCAGCAACATCGCACTCAGCACGCGCCTCCCAAGAATGGTTACAAAATGAGGTTCCTCGCTTTATTAACAGCGCGCAATGGGCACCAAAATCTCCGGATACCACTCCGTTGTACTATTGTGTCTGGAGTATTTTGGAAAGCAAGGTTGGCACTAAAAAATTCCAAAGTGTCGATCACCTCAAGCAAGCGCTTCGCCGGGAATGGGCCAAAATACAGCAGATCAACATTCGGGCAGTGTGTGACGGTTTTATTGGCCGTTTGAAGGCCAACTTAAACTTATTCTAAAATTTGATGCTATTTCCGAAATATTAAAAAAAAACAAGCCGAACTTTGAATACCCTCCACCATTTGGAACGAATTTGAAAAATTTCAAAAAATAAAGCCCTTCTGGTAAAATTTTAAAAATACCGAATATAGCCATTATATTGGGGTCTATACGACGTGGACCTACATAGGCCTTGTTTGTCATAAGCCATTGCCATATTCAAATTCGAAAATTTAAATAAACGGTGAATAATGTAGCTAAAATCATCAAAATATCATATATAGGGAGGTACCGTTATATCGGAGCTGTTCGAAGACCTGGACCAGCATAGACAATTTTCTGTCACAGGCTATAGCATCCATTACGAACGTCAAATACGACATCTCAAAAAATTTCGGTGGGTATTGTACCTACCGACTATTGGGAGGTACTGATATATGGGGCCTATACGAAGACCTGTACCTGCAAAGACAATTTTGGGTCACAGGCTATAGTTTCCATTACGAACTCTAAATACGTAATTTGAAACAATTCCGTTAAGTAATAACGCTAAAATCATCAAAATACCAAATTTTGGGAGGTATCGTTATATGGGGGCTATATGAAGACGTGGACCTGCACAGACAATTTTTTGTCATAGGCTGTAGCATCCATTACGAATCTCAAATTCCAAATTTGAAACAATTCCGGTGTATAATGTCGCTAAAATCATCAAAATAACGAATATCGGGAGTTACCGTTATATGGGGCTATACGAAGACGTAGACCTGCACAGATAATTTTCTGTCATAGGCTGTAGTATCCATTTCGAACTTCAAATACCAAAGTTGAAACAATTCCGATGAATAATGTCGCTAAAATCATCAAAATACCGAATATCGGGAGGTGCCGTTGTATAGGGGCTATACGAAGACGTAGACCTGCACAGATAATTTCCTGTCATAGGATGTAGTATCTATTTCGAACTTCAAATACCAAATTTGAAATAATTCCGGTGAATAATGTCGCTGAAATCATCAAAATACCGAATATCGGCAGGTACTTATATATGGGGGCTATATGAAAACGTGGAACTACATGGCCCATTTACGAACTTAACCTGCCCACTGGAAAAATAAACACCTGTACAAAATTTTTGCATTCTATCTCAATTCGTTCGAAAGATAGCGTGATTACAACAGACAGACGGACAGGGCTAAATCGACTTAGAATTTTACGCTGATCAAGAATATATACACTTTGTTGAGTCTGACATGAGTATTTCGAGGAGTTACAAACGGAATGACAAAGTTAATATACCCTCCGTAGTATGGTGGATGGTATAAAAATGAATAATTATGGCCTTTGACTTTTTTGCACTTTTTTTATCCCACCCTGTATATGGAAGTTATAGCTATACCTGAACCGATTTCGGTCTATTTAGAAGTCGCCTGAAATGTTCCAAATCCAAGTCGAAAATCAAATCACAAATATTGGTATGATAATCTCTCTAGTTTAAACAAATTTATAGTGCTACTAACACTACTCTATTCTTTCATTAATTTTCCGTTGCTATTCGACCATCTCGCGAATTTTCAAACCCCCTCTATGGTACGCATATAAATTATTTCATTACAATGATGTCAACTATGAATTCCAGTGATAAATAGAATCCTTGTGTGGAATACAGAATGGTATCGGCGCCATTAATAAATCATTGTTTGATTTATGTTAATCCTGGACTTTGTAGTTGTGATGGCATTATTAACATTTAATTAAAATCGCACCGATACTGCCAACAAAGAAAAATTGATAGTTTATAACATTATACACGAGTGGATTTAAAGTTATTAAAATTATTTTGCAGAGCAAAATTAAAAAAAAAAATAACAGGGGATAATAATTATGAACAAGTGTATGAATAGCTTCGATAAAATAATCAATACCATTTATCTCAGATATCTCAAATTTATAATTTTTATTTTCACAGAATTCCAAGATAATTAAGAAACCAGTCTAGATTTTTATGAGTATTAAGATTTTACTATCCCAAATGCTTTTAGCTATCGTATAAGACGATGGATGATGTGTCATGATGTCTGAACTCAAAAAAATGAATCTTTCTACTGGTGTCACAAGAAAATAACAGCTTGCTTCCATAAATGCTTGCATATCTTAGCTTTCTCAAATATTTCAAATCAATACAGTATTATCGCTCAATTTGTCGGCCCCATTCCATGTGTGGCACTTTATTGATAATAACCATGTCTACACCGCATAAATCGAACTTACCACTCATAATAGACAGCAGCAGCAAACAGATCCCGCCGAAATTGATTATTCGACTGTTTGCAGCTTTCATAGTTTCAATCATCGATGACAAAGTGTCGACAGCAAATTGTCGTACATCAGGTCGAGAGTGAATCCACTTCAGAAAATAGATTGCAATCGGCAACAAAAACAACCACAACAAACAAATAAAGTTTGGATGGCGAATAAAGCCAGTCGTCGTCGTCGTCGGCGTTGTTGTTGTTGTTATCTGCTGTTTAATAAAGCAAAATGTTGTTGTGTGGCATTTCTTTTTTTATAAAGTCATAGAACACAAACATATTTGTTCAGAGTTTAGTTGGTGCCACGACTTCTCCTTTTTGTTCTCCTCTGTATTTGCGTCTTTTTTTCGAACTTTGTGTTAAAGGGAAGAAGATGGAGATTGCTGGTATTATCGTCGAAAAAACAAAGACAATGTCGGTTAGTTAGTTATATGCGTTGTTTATTTTGTTGGCTTTTTGCCAATATGGAACAAATCCTTCTGCATCAAGTCAAGACATGACTGTGAGTTCCATCCATGTAGTCGATATATCTGAAAAGAAAGAGTTGTGGAAGAAAGAAGGGAAGATAAAATTAAGTACTTAAAGAAAAAATAAATGGATAATATATATTTTTATCATTTTATGCAATTAGGTTATTAACTACAACCTACGCTTCTAGATAGAAGATGACTTGGCTTTGGCCCAAGAACATGGTACCGCACATTCGCAAAAACAGCGCGATAAAGAGGATACAACTCCTATTTTCAACTTTATTTAAGTGTTTTGTTGCTGGTCGGCACATTTGAGCCGAATTTAAGATATCAATATTTGAATCGAGACGTCAAACCTTAATGAGCTGCCGCTATCAGACCAGAATATGTTACTATCACAAATCATAAAATTCCTTTCTTAAACGTGGTCATAAAAATTTGATATATTAGAACAGTGTTGGCTTGTTTGTTCGGGATACCATAGTATTTTGTTGTTTGCAAAATGGTCAGGCTTTATCCCTTTATTGTTGTTTTTATAAAAACAACGTTTTTAGGCAGGGAATACATAGGTTTCGGAAAGAGCCTACTATCGTCATATGTTCCCTTGTTTTATGTCTGGGATATTCTCTCCAGAAGATTTTTAAATATAACTTCTATGCAACATTTTTTTACGAAAGGGACGAGATCGTAAGCTCAATAGAAGAGGAACCAAAGAATTAAATAAAACTAAAATTCTTTGGGAAAGTCTTCTAAATCTTACAAACGCACTTATAAACAATTACATCTTTCTCCACTTGTTATGCTTCCGTTCAACCTGAACGAAGTAGCATAACCATATAAGTTGGTTTTGTCTATTACAACAAAAACCCCTTCGTCGACCGTGCCTTGTCTATTAATGGAACAATGTTGGCTTTCTTTCTTTCTTCGGGATACCATAGTATTTTGTTGTTGCAAAATGGTCAGGCTTAATCTCTTTATTGTTGTTTCTATAAAAATAACTTAGTTCATCGTAATATTATTGCCAAACTTAGATCGCGCTCGGATATGGGCAATACAGGTCCAGTCCTTCTAGTACCTGTCCCTGAGAAAGTATATATTTTCATTGAAAATGGATGACATCGATTCACTCCATCAAGGAAGTGGGCGGAAGAAAACAGCAACATCAGCAGAAATGTTTCGAAAAGTAGAGAAGCGACTTGATCGAAATCAGTGGCCGAAAAATGGCTCGTGAGCTGAACATATCGCAATATTCCATTCAGCAAATATGAAAAAAGAGCTCGGGGTAAAGCCATTGAAATTCCAAAAAAATTCAAGAACTTACACCGCAACCGAAGGAAACTAGACTCAAAAGAGCTAAAGAGTTGCTTCGCTTGGCCGAAAGTGGTGAACTGCCGATTTTGGTTTTCTCCGATGAGAAAACGTTTTTCACGTTTTTCGTTTTCCAGCAGTTTGTAAACAGACAAAATGATCGGGTTTACTTGCCAAAGAGGTCAACTGAAAATGTGCACCTTCAGTTGGCCACCAGAACTGGTGATGTTGTGGGGCCGCTACAACTGCCGATGGTCCGTGGCATCAGAATAAATGCCGAATATTACCGCGAAAAAATTCTGGAGGGTGTATTAAAGCCCTAGGCACGCAAACATTTGGCCGCAGACCTTGAACATTCCAACAGGACTCAGCATCATCGCACTCAGCACGCGAACACCCAAGAATGGTTACAAAATGAGGTTCCTCACTTCATTTCAGTGGACGGAAGAAAACAGCAACATCAGTAGAAATGGTTCGAAAAGAAAAGAAGCGACTTGATTGAAACCCTCCCAGTGGCCGACAAATGGCTTGCGAGCTGAACATATCGCAATATTCCATTCAGCAAATATTGAAAAATGAGCTCGGAGTAAAGCCATTGAAATTCCAAAAAGTTCAAGAACTTACACCGCAACTGAAGGAAACTAGACTCAAAAGAGCTAAAGAGTTGTTTCGTCAGAGGTCACTTGAAAATGTGCACCTTCGGTTGGCCACCAGAACTCAAGCGCCGGTAATGGTGATGGCCGTGATCGATGGCTGTAATCAATACTGGCATCAGAATAAATGCCGAATGCTATCGCGAAAATATTCTGGAGGGTGTATTAAAGCCCTGGGCACACAAACATTTGGGCCGCAGACCTTGAACATTCCATTTTAAATAGGTATAGTGTCATAAAATTAAAAAAATAATTATTCGATGTTTCTTCTAACTTCGGACAATGCAATATCTTCATCAAAATTTGTTCTAGTGTGAATGCAAAACTCGTCGGCCCATTTTTCAGATACCACACCCACAAAGGGTAAAATAATTATATTTGTATAAGCCATAGATGTAATGTAAATATCGAATATGTAGGACCACTGCTTCAGGTACCTCAACCACAAAATATAAATAATTTTACGAAAAGTACTGAATGGTACTATATTTATGTATTGGGTGAAGAAATTGATATAAAATCCTGAAGTTTTATATTTAGATTGCTGATAGTATATGTTTTTGAGATTTGGCGGCGGTTTGGAAATGCGACCTATAACGAAAAGTACTAAATTTGGTATAGGACGAAGAGATAGAGCAGAAACCCTGAAATTTGATATGGATGTCACCGTTGGTGTCTGTGGCTAAGATATGGAGGTAGTCTTGCAAATGTGTACTATAATTTTTCGAAAAGTACTAAGTGGTACTAAAATGGGTATTGGGTGAAGGGATAGCTGGAATCCAAAATTTGAAACTGAAGGGTATGTTGATATCTAGGATTGAGTTATGGAGTTGGTTTGGGAAATGTGTTATATAATTGCACGAAAAGTACTGGATGGTACTATATTTTAATTTGGGTGAAGATAGAGATACAATTAACTCAACCATTTGTGCGAGAGGTATTAGAAGGAGTGAGCCGATATTGTCCACTTGGACAATTGACTAAGCCCTAACAAAAATATTAGTATTTGCAAAGTTTGAATAAATTTTTCTTTATTATTTATTTTCTTGAAAATGATGACCTTTTGTGAAGCGGTGATGAATGGACTGATGTTGCCCAGCTTCGAAATCGATCTAAGTTTCATAATAATATAAGGAGGTAACAATTATGGACCAAAGTGGGCATTGACTTCAAAAGTTATAGTGCGCCCCAGCCAGTCAGACAAGCGAAAGGACACAACTAAATCGTTCCCAAATGCCCTTGTTCCATGGAGACCTTGGATCTATATTCTTGAAATGAACTATTATAGCCTCTCTACGAACTATATCTATGTGTGGAAAATATATTACGATGTACCAAATTTTTAGCAAAATCGGGCACTACTTCTACAGTTATCATCCCCATCTTCAAAAATTGTGGAAAAAATGTTGTTTATGGTCTATCAAATGTTTGACACTGCCGTATTACGTCACTTTTTTACCCTTATGTCTTTCGAAAATGTTCCAAATTGTCTTACTAATTTTAATACACATGCAAACATGCCATATAATTATAATTTAGCTCACGAAAAAGCCTTCTAAATTAAAACAGAAAAATAATTTGATATAACTTCCAAGTGACGTTATCATTTCAATCAATGACAGAATATTAAACAAAAACCCAAAAAAAAAAACTGCACAAAGATAGATTCCTATGAAAAATGAATTCTATTTTTAACCCTGAACTAAATGTCAAATTTACTAAATATCCTCCCATGCACTGTTGCCTTGAAATAAAATAAAAAGCGAAATAACTCAAAACCGCCAAAAACAACGCAACAGCGGAGGAAACACGAAGGAAGATGAAGCATTGCCTCAATTTGGAATTGCTGGTTTTTTTTTTTTTGGTTTTTTGCTGCTTCTTGTTTCGTTTACTTAGTGTTGAGAAGGAAACGCTTAAATAAACCCCATCTCAATTACAAGAGCTGCAAGTTTTAAGGACATAACCAGGATATTTGAAGTGGCCTTTTGTGAACTTTTGGAGATCGTCGTTCATTTCTTTGTCGACTGTAATTGGCACATTGTTTCTTGAGCCAGCAAGTCAAGCAGCCAGCCAGCAAGGCAGTCTGTCAGCCAGTTGGTGCATTCTCTAGCTTTTCAGAAAAAATAACCTTCCTCTCTTTTTTTTGGTAAACTTAGCAGTTGGCGATTTTGGTGCAGTTGCAGTAATGTTTGTTTCTTCATTTGTTTTTGTAAATATTAGTGTTGTTGCTGCTGTTGTTTTCATTGCTTTGATTAGTATTGTTGCCAAATAACTTACTGGAGAAAATAATTGAAAATGTCAACAGCAATCCCGGCAAAGATTTGGTCGTCTTGCGTTGTTGTTGGCATAATTGTTGAAGATAGGGGACTTGCATGTCCTGTGTGCACCCACCACGAAATACTTAAGAAGGGAAGAAAAATTGAAAGTAATTTGTATTGTCGGATATTGTTTTCAAATAACGTTCAATTATAGAACCAATTAAAATCAATGTCACTGCTTTTAAATGTATTGAGCATAGCTATAAATAAACGAATTGAGCCGGAGTAATTACAGTTGGCAGAACTTTTTCCCAATTAACGGGACAATATTGTCCATTTTGTATGGAACCTAAGTAAAAATGATATAAATACTGCGACGTACCAGGTTTGGTTGCTTCCTTCACTTTATATGCAATATGGGATAATTTTTAGAAAATATTAAAATATGTTTGGGGTTCCAGATATAGTTGAACGAAGTATTCCATTATCATACTTCATCTATTACAGATAAAGATATCGGTATGGACAAAACCAGAATTAGGAGATCCGATCTCTACCATCTTTTTAATAGATCTTTTGTTGATGGAAATATTGAGATATGTTATGCTTGAGTGGAATCGGATGATAAGTTCGCGTTTTATGAACTTCATGGATATTCACAATTTTGATCCTTTTGGGGAAGTTACCAGAAGGAGTGGACCGAAACATCCTATCTTCACAGCAGATCTTGTGTTAGTAGTAATAATTGGATATGTGTAATATTAGGAGAACCGGATGCTTATTATGCATTTTATAATCTTTTTATACCCTCCACCATACTATGGAGGGTATATTAACTTTG